GTTGTCTAGGTCTGGTCTAGCTTCCCAAGTTGCTGCAGATTTTGTGCTGCTGTGGTGGATCCAGGCTGGGATTCCCTCCACCTTTACAGCTGTGGTAGTGGTCAGGATCATGGTCTGGGGTCCTTTCCACTGTGGATTCAGAGGAACTACATTCCAGTCCTTTATCCACATATAATCACCTGGTGAGAAAGGGTGACCTGGAGAGAATAAGCATACAGGACCTGTTTCATTTACCCAGGTTGAAATATCCCGAGTGATTTTTTTCTAGAACTTGTAGCTGTCTTCCCAGCTCAATTTCTCCCCATTGTCAGGGAGTTCCCAGGAGTGCCCACAGTATGGGACGGGGCCTATGATATAAGACTTCATAGGGGGATATTGGGAATACATCTAATTTTGAATAATGCCAAGGGAAGGGCCTGCACCCACTTTAATCCTGTTTCCTGACATATTTTCCCTAAGCTACTCTTAATAGTCCAGTTCATCCATTCCACCATTCCAGAACTCTGTGGTCAGTAGTGCTACTCTTCCAAGTGGTAGCTGGATCCATTCCTCTTTAATTATTTGCTCCCCTTCTGCTTAGAGAAAGTCCTTTGGTATTCACTAGAGTCACTACTGCATGGGGTGCTGTGGTATTTAAGTTTTGCCCCAGAGTTAGCTTATTAGCCTCTTGTGCTAGCAGAGCAGTTGCTGCCAGGGCCCTTAAACATGGGGGCCATCCCTTGGAAACTCTGACCAGCTGCTTGAAGAGATAAGCTACAGGCCTGGGCCAAGGTCTCACTGTTTGTGTTAGAACTCTGACTGCCATTTTTTTTTTCTCTTTCTGACACATGCAACATGAAGGTAACCCCGGAGCTGGGGTTGATATGAGTTTCTCTTTCAGTTCCTGAAAGGCCTGTCTCTGCTGGGATCCCCATTCACAAGGTTTCTTGTCTCCCACCTTAGTGACATTACAAAGGGGTTTGGCAAGTACTGCAAAGTTTGGAATCCAGTCTACACCCACAGCTCCCGGGAACTCTCTCACCTGCCTGTTAGTCTCAGGTCTTGGGAGGTTGCAAATGACTTGTTTCCTTTCTGCTACTAGGCTGTGCTCTCCCTGCCAGATGGTGAACCCCAGATACCACACATGCTGTCAGCAAATCTGGGCTTCTTTTTAGAAACTTTATATCCACAGTCCTCCAGGTGCCGAAGTAAGGCACCTGTTTCTTTAGCTTCTCACCCAACTGCCGTGGAGTGTCCCAATAAAAGTCCATTAGCATATTGGAGCAACATGCAGGAAGTTTCTTAGCAGGAAACTTCTGAAGGTCATGGGCTACTGCCTCCCCAAAGGTGATGGGAGAGTTCTTGAACCCCTAGGATAGCTGGATGCAGGTGTACTGGGTGGTTACACCTGTCTCTGGATTTTCCTATTGAAAAGCAAATTGTCTCTGACCTTCTGAGGCCAGTCCAATGCTAAGGAAAGCATCTAAGTCCAAGCAGGTGAAACAACTATTCTCCACTGGCAATAATCCCAACAGCATGTACAGGTTAAGTGCAGTTGGGTGCAAAGTCACTGTAGCCTGATTAATCAAACACAAGTCCTGCACTGGCCTGTAGTCTTTGGTCCCTGGTTTAGGAACAGGCAAGTAGGGGGGTGTTCCATGGAGACTGTCCGGGAACAAAAATTCTGTATGCCTTTATGTATTTTAGGTGGATCTGAAGCCTTCTAGGGCCTCCCTGGGAACTGGATATTGCTTTTGCCTAAATAACTGAACTCCAGGCTTGACTTAAATGAGCGCAGTGGCATGTTTGTCGGTCCCAGAGGACCATCCTCTGCCCAGACCATAGGCCATCGTTTTGCTAATGCAGATTTTATTTCCCAGTCTCGTTCAGCTAAGAAGAGCCTCCACTCTTTTTCACGAGGCACACTGAGGGCCATTATGACTCCAGTTTTAGGCAATGTCAGCAATAAAGTGCCACTCTTGGTGAAGGTGATGGTTACCCATAGCTTACTGAGCAGAGCCCATCCTAGCAAGGGCAAGGCACAATCAGGCATGTATAGGAACTGGTGAATCACCTCATGCCCCCAAACCTCACAAGTCCAGGGCAAGTAAAAAGACTGTTCCTCTGACACCCCAGTAGCTCCAACAATATCAACCATTTCTCTTGTTAGGGGCATTACAGGACTGTCATCCAGACCATGGGCTCTTTGGGGGCAATTGAGCCTGGCCCCCTTCAGTCCAATGGTCCTTCCATTGAATTGAACAGAGCTCCTTCACTTTAATCTGAAGCCTCATGCCTAAGATCGCCCTGTTTTCCTGTCAACTGGGGGCACTTGTCCTTCCAGTGTCCCACTTCCTTACAGTAAGCACACTGGCCATGCTGCAGGCACAGGCAATTAGATGGGGTAGCCTTCCAGGAGCCCCCCTTTCCCATCCTTCTGGGGTCACTCCTCTAATAGTGTCAGCTATCAAGTTGGAGCTCTGTTGAGCTTGACTCTCATTTTCTCCACAACTTTCCCTATGGCTTACTGCATCTCTATTCAGAAACACCTGGCTAGCTATTTCCAATAACTGTGAAGTATTCACGCCCAGAAATCCTGCCTGCTTCTGTAACGTTCACCTAATGTCTTCTGCTCACTGACTGACTAATGCCATATTTACCATAGGTTGGTGTTGGGGGCTCTTAGGATCAAAAGGAGTATACATGCAACAGGCTTCACATAGCCTCTCATAGAACTGTGCCAGGCTTTCCTCTTTCCCTTGAATGACCTCAGATACTTTATTAATGTTTGTATCCCTCTGGGCTCCCTTCTTCAATATTTTGAGTAAGGCCTCTCTGTACCAGACTAGACTTTGCATGCCCCCTAGGATGTTTGGATCCCCTGGGGGTCAGTCCCTGGTAACTGGACCCTGACATACTCTTGGGGGTTCTGGTAATATGCTGGAACATGCTCCTCCAACCATTTGGAAGCAGCTTGGAGTACTCTCCACCTTTCATCCATGTTAAAAAGATACATAAGCATTCGGTGGCAATCAGCCCAAGTGCGATTATGAGTTTGGACAATAGTTTGCAGTAGGTTAATGAGAGGTTGTGGCTTCTCAGTATAAAATGGGGTGTTATTTTGCCAGTTGATAAGATCAGCTGAGGTGAATGGTAGGTACATGAAAACACATCTTTCCACCATGTGGCCACTCTCATCCACTCCCATATATCTCTGCTCTCTTAAAGGCCTCTGTACACCTGCCTTGGGTCACACACAAGCTGCTATAGGAGGAGTTCTTCCTGGGAAGCAGGCAGCTATGAGAGGAGTCCCTTCACATTCTCTTGTCTACTCTGGGTGGTTTAGGGGTGTGCAATTCTGGTGGAGGTGCTGAGGTTTCAGGCCCAGGGGTGAGAAGTCCTTCCTCCAGATCAAGGGGAAGGGTATCATCAGCAAAAGCTCTTCCATCACTGGATCTGCCAGGACCTTGGGAGTCTGCATCCCTTGGCAGGTGGAGCAGGGTTTCTTCATAGCTGTCTTCCCCTTTGTCATCAGTACAGTTGCTACCTGTCCTCTTAACCACTGTGGAGGGTTTAGAACTAGCTGCAGCCACAAATCTATGTATGGAAATTGATCAGGGTATCCTGGCTTGCATTTAACATTATGTCATACTTTAGAGACAAGAGACCTGTCTAGGCTCCTTTCTGAGGGCCAATCCACCCAAATGCTGGCCAGTCTACCTCATATAAAATCCTCAGCTTTCCTTGTGTCAGAGTCACTCCACAATCCCCACTAAATCCCTTCTTGAGATTTTTCAGCATAGTCCCCAGAGAAGTAGGCTTACTATGAGTGTGTCCCATGTTTTTGGCACAATAAAACAGCACTCACAGGCAGTAAAGAGAATTTTACTCCACCCTCAGTTTCTCCCACCCTGCATGATACAACACACAGTCTGTTTCACTTTTGCTTCAGGCCAGTAGGATTATCTCCCTTTGCGGGAGTGTTTCAGATACTGCTTGGCATTGGAGAGTTCATTAATCCCTTCACACTACCTAGATTGTGAGGGCATCTCCTTCCAGCCATATGCAGATCATCCCTAATCCCAGGCAGCCCCACAATTCGCCCAAAGCTTAGGGTGCTTTCTAAAGGACCTGCTGCTTCCACATTTCACAGCTGGTGAGTCCAATTGGACCCCTCCAATCACACACAATCATACACTTCCCCCAGTTTACCCTGCCCTGTATGACATGACATACTCTCTGTTTCACTTTTGCTTCAGGTAAGTAGGATTGTCTCCCTTTTGGCAAGTGTTTCAGATGAGAACACTTTGGCATCAGAGAGTTTGTTAATCCCCTCACAATACGTAGATTGTGAGGGCATCTCCTTCCATCCCTATGTGGATTATTCCTAATCCCAGCTGGCCCCATAATTCACCCAGAGCTTAGGTCCCTCTCTACGGACCTGCCGCTCCCACATTTCATGGCTGCTGAGTCCAACTGGACCCCTCCAATCACTCACACGATCACACTCCTCCCTCCATCCAAATTGAAACCGAAAGCAAGACTTTCAAGGTTAGTTACACACACACACACACAGAGAGAGAGAGAGAGAGAGAGGTGAGTTCAAGAGTGACAAATCCAGCACATGTGAGTGATCAGGCAATGCTTCCACCTAAAGGAGGTTGCAAGTTTCTCAGGATTGATCCTACCATGTTTCTGTTTTCTGGACACTAAAGGCACCTGTTCCTTCTCGGTATTCAGTCACTGGGTGGATCCACTGCAGAGACCTACACTGTGTTGTTCTGGCTAGGCATTCCACTGGGGCCAATACCTGCCTGGGAGCACACTCAGGACTCGTGTCTCCCAAGCTGGCTGGTTTCCTCTGCAGGGATGCTCCATAGGGCAACGAAAAACACCTGAAAGACTGTTTTGGCTGACTGCCTACTGAAACTCACTTTCCAGTCAGGTAACAAAATAATGAAGTAGAAAAGACTGCAAACAAACCACTCAAACACCGAACTTGGAAGGAAGTGGTGATTTATTCATCTGGGACCTGCAGTGGGCCTGAATGCCCCAATAGCTGAGCTCCGTGGCTGGAAAATCCTGTCCCCTTTTAAAGGCTCACAATCTCAGAAATTACATATGAAAATGCCTTGATCCATGAAGTAGGTGTAGGGGTACATGACCTGGGTGGGGGTTTGATCACGTTTAAGCAAAAACAGTGCCTTCTGGAAAGATTCCTCCATATCATACCTGCTATCTATAGGGGTGCAATTAAGGGTGGCACCCAGTCTGCTAGGTTTTACCTCTCCTATTGAAATGCAATGCAGAAGGCTAGGGCCAAGTGGTCTTAGAGGCTTAAAAGGATTAAGAGCGATTCAGGGTTTCCTTCCTCGCAGCCGCACATGGATCTATCAAGTTAGCTCCATTTTAGCTTCTCAGTGAGATCTGTAAAACAATTTAAGATTAATTTCCAGAAAGATAAAACTATAACTGTCAATCAAACATAAAATATAAAATAGCAACATTTTAAAGGTTTTTGTTTAAGGCATTAGTTAATGAAGGAATGAGACAGATGTCAATTCAAATGAGAATTTACCCACATACTTTCACATTGTCTACCTGATAAATTTTGCTTGCATTGCCAAAAAGAAAAATCATCTGTGTTGTTATGGATAGGTAACACTCGCATGATAATTAGTTTTCTGCAACTTAAATTCTACGCCTTCAAAAATTTTAAACAGCCTGGTCATGCAATGACATTCAAAAGTTCACACCCCTAGACAATCAGTTAATCCTGGGTGGATCCACTAGATACATACAGCATTCTACTGAACACACTCTCAGTTGTTTCCTTTTCTTATTTTTTTTCTTTTTGTACATTTCTTGGATGACTTGTCCCAAAAACAAGGTGAAGTCAACCCCATCTAACAGACTTAGTGCTAAGTCATACTCCTGTCTTTTTAGAATTAAGTTTAGTTTTCTTTTAGAAAGTTCTGTTTCCTGTGGTTATTTTACACACTGTGTGCTGATAGCAGCCAAAAGCAAAGGCGATAGCAAACATCTAGTGTAACCTTGAGTGTTGGAGCTCAGAGTCCAGTTGTCACTCTCTTTTTCAGTAAGTGAACGGCAGAGTGACATCTCATCTTGTTGAGATGGTTTTCTGCCCAGCTAATAAACTACATTCGTTTCAGCTGCTTTGTAGATCTGGGAAGCCAATGTCATGTAAACAGTGACAACTGCCTTGGAGCCGAAGAAAATTTCATAAACATGAGGCTGATAAGCAAGAAAACATTTCTGCCAGTAAACATTTCTACCAGTAAATATTCCTCTTTCTTCTACACAGAATGTACACTCGATGGCTGGATCAGAAAGAAAGAGTTTGGAACTTTAGTAATTATAGTAAAGCAGTTATACTATCTTTGGACTATTTAACTCTGAGTTTCATTAGAAGAAAAATAAGTCACTATTATTAAGGGAAATGTTATTTTGTCACTCTGCTAGTGTCAGTTAAATGCAGTTATTAACTGATCCAGGATTACATTTCTATAAGGTTCTCTAAGTCATGCACACTAAGTGATTTCATCACCACTTAAAAACTACTTTTTAGAATAGAAATTCTGCCTTATTCTGATGTAAACAATGATGGATTTAAAAATTAAACAGATGGGTAGGGTAATGACAGCTATTTGGAGCAGATACTGAATACAGCTTGGCTGTGTTACATTTGTAAATAAGTTTTCTCACTCTCTCATGGGCATGCTGGCCAGTTTTCCATTTGTTATTGATTCAACCTTTGGTCCAAACCAAAATTCTGTGTTCTATACAGACAGTATGCAAGAACAAAATGTTAACCCACAATTCTTCAATAAGCCCCTTTTAATAGGCTTTCCAGTTTGAGTTAATTTCTTCCCACCATCTCCTTTTTTTAAAAACATTTAATTATGGAAAATTTCAAACATAAAGAATATAGTATAAAGAACTATGATGAAATTATCTCACATCAACAAGTACCAGTATTTCTCTATCTGTGGTCCCCTTTTCTTTCCCCTCTGGTAAGTCATTTGGAAGCAAATTCCAGATGTTTTATTTCATCCACATATATCTTAGCATGTATTTTTAAAATGAGAACACTCACTTCCTATTTTTTGACATAGCAGAGTTGTATGTTTTCACCTGACAATGAAAAAATTCTTTAGTATTCCTTGTTTCTCTTTCTTTGTCTTTTTTTCATCTTGATTTTTATAAAAACTGGGTCTTTTTCCTTCAGAGTTTCCCAGACTGAAATTATTGATTAAATCAACTTGGCATGGTTTTATATGTTACTTCTGTTACATATTTTTCTTGTAAATAGTAGTTGGATCTGGAGTATCGGTCAGATCTAGGACTGATATTTTTTGTGACTACATCGTAAGCCATTTTTTAGTGCTGTCGGAAGGCACATAATGTCTGGGTGACTCTTTCTATGGTGCTAGCCCTGGTGATCAATTATATCACTAGATCCATTATTTCATCAGATGTAGAAAAATGGTTATATTCTAATTTTATTATTATATTTTTTATTCATAAGTTAGAATACATCCATAAAGAAAATATCTACTTACCAACATTTGGTTAATTTGAGGTATTAGTCATAAAGCAGAGATAGAAAAAATGCTTGATTCTTATTTTTAGTTTTCAAAATAATGACTTAATGACTTAGAAAACAGATCAGCAAACTTTTTTGTGCGTGTAGGAAAAAAGAAACTTATTTTCTTCCCATCTCGTGTTCAGGGCTGAGGGCTTTATAACACAAGAGAGATTAACAATTGAAAAGCATAGAAAGTATTTAATAGAAGTTTTATGTGAGACAGATGTCTTTATAAGGAAATGAAGACCCAAAGAAACAGAGAAACCTGTGTGTTTCTATGCTGGGTCTTATGAAGAAGTAGTCAGATGGAGAGATGTATGATTGGACAAAAGGTGCGTAATCTAATAATAAAAACTTGAAGAACTTAGCAGGGCTTTTTTGGTCATATCCTTCTGTGTCCCTGGGTCTTCAGAGATAAGGATGTTCCTCTTATTTGGGTATAGGGTAGGCACTTCTCACATGGTCTGAAGACCTACCTCAGAGGAGAATAGCAGGGAAAGGTGATCTTTTGCCTCTGCTGTCTTCTCAAATGCCAAGATGCTATATTTTGAAGTAATATGTTCTGAACCTACCACTTGCAAAGGGTCAATTGTACATATTTCAGGCTTTGTAAGCCATACAGCCTCTGTCACAGCTACTCAACTCTACTGATATAACCCGAATGCAACCATAGAAAGTAATGCAAACAAGTTGGTGTACTGTGTTCCAATAAAGTATTATTTACAAAATCAGAAAGTGTGACAGATTAGACTCACAGGTCATAGTTTCCAACCTCTATCTTGAAAACCAAGAGGTTTTTCATTTTTATATTGGCTTTTATTTAGTATTTTAGCAACTGGTTTCCTTCAATGTACAAGTTGTTATGATCTTTTTGGCTTTTTTTTAATAGTAGTTTTAGGTCCACAGCAAAATAGAGAGGTAGTTACAGAGATTTCCCATGCACCCCTACTCCCACACATGCCCAGCCTTTCCCATTATCTACAGCCCCCACCAAGTGGCGATTTATTACAATCAATTAACCTATATTGACACATCCATGTCACCCCAAGTTCACAGTTTGCATTAGCATTCACTCTTGGTGTTGCAATGATTTGTATCCATCAACATAATGCCATACAGCATTATCTTCACTGTCCTCAAATTCTTCTGTGCTCTGCCTATTCCATTTGTAAGTTGTGCATCTATCCCTCCTTCGGACAATAGAAGGCTCTCTAGATAGCTACTGAGTCCTTTAAAACATCCTCAGTAGTGTTTGATAGCCTGATTTCTTATAAGGCAAATCATTCCAGATTACCTTGTATACTTTCTGCCCCAGATTTAGAATTGGCTATTTATTCCAGTATCTGAAGGCATCTGTATTTTTTTTTTCAAGTCAAAGCCATTATGAGTTTTTTCAAGTCAAAGCCAACTATATCCCTGTACCAATATGTTTTCTTCACATTCAGTCACTCAAGATTTATTAAATATCCCCAGCTATTTTAAATCTGTTCCCCCTTTTTCCCTACCACAAAAACGCTATTTTCCTGAGATTATAGATGCAAATTAGAAGTTCTTTCACAGTATTTCAGTACCTTACAGATGCACAATTAAATTATACTATTTTATGCTCTTTTGTTTTAATTCTAATTAAAGCTTAGAATGGCAGGAATGATTAAATATTCTGGATTTCTCTTATCTAACCGAACCTCAATTTTGTTGTGTCTATATGCCATGTTTCTAACTGAGTATAATTGAGCCTCAAACATAATTGGGCTTCTGTTAGTGAGAAAGAATAAGAAAATAGATGTTATGCAGTTAATTAAATGGAGTCAGCCACTTAAGTAAGTCACCCACTTACCATGAACCATAGCTCTGCTTATTTCTACTACCCTGTGATTGACTTAGTTAACATCATTAATGACTGCCCTTCTGGCTTCCCATTGTTACTACGAAGTTTTATTACTCTCATTTCATATTTATAAATAAATTATGTTACATCAAACATAATTTGTCTCATATTCCGCATTTGTCTCATTACCAACACACACACCACACACAGACACACACACACACACACACACACACAAATCTGCTTCTAATCATTATTAAATTCAAATATCCTAAAATGTTATTGTCATATTATAATTTTTGTTAATAGTAGAAAGTAGACAACTAGAAATATTTCTAAAAGTTTCTTTCATGATACATTTTTATCAATAAATATTTATACTTTTATCCATATTATCTAAGTTGTTTTTTATATGGCTGTTACAAATTAAAGAAAACAATATTTAACAAGAGAAATTATCTATCAAATCCTTGACTACACATCATGAAGAAAAGATGCAACACAATTTCTTTCTCAAAGGCCTTGCAATAAAATGCTGGAATTGAACAAGATTTAGAGAACTTACTCCTGTATTATCATCAGTGGCACTGACAAATGTGCAAACATTTAAATTTAAAGGAAACACATCCCTGTAGCACACAGCAATTTGAAAGGATAGATCTGAAGCTAGGCCCTCTGAATTTAAATCTGGATTCATTATTTTCTAGATGTGTTACCTTAATTATATCTATAAAGTGGGTATAATAATTTGAAGTATCTATAGAACCATTAGGAGGATTAAATGTGTTAAGATATATATATATCTTAATATCTATCTTGAAATGACATCTGTTATGTTGGAGTTACTCAATAAAGATTAGCAAAATTATATTTTATTAACTAAGAAAATGACATATATTGAATATGAGAGTGATATTGATTCTTTTACGATTATAAGACTAATAAAATAAAATAGAAATATTCTTCTATATATTAGGCTAGATTTTAAGA